CTAGATCATTTGTGCTTCCGAACCTGTATGAAACAGGAACGGTGAAGGTAAAACGCATCTATAGATACTCGATCACTCTCTCTGTCTTGTAGCTCAGCCCAAGTAGTGACAGTCAGTGACATGGAATTGCAGCGCTGGAGAGGAAAACTGAACGTGCTGCGGACTGCAAAAGAGCAAACCCATCTGTCTGGGATGAAGTTCGGCCAGAATCCTCCTTAGAGGCATGGGTAGTGAGACTTCATCAGGAGAGGCCAGTCCCCGGAGAAGGACATCATGCCAGGTAAAGTGGGAGGGCAGTGAGAGAGAGGAAGGGCCTCAAGGGGCTGGACGGACCCGTGGCTGCAAGCAGGGGCTCCAACATATAATCCTGAAGAGGATGCCGGCCCAGGCAGTGCTGGGTTCTGCTGTGCACAGGGTGGGGGGTGCGTCAGGAACGTGCAACAGAACCCAACAGCAGCAGCAGCCACACAGATAATCTTACATACAGATAGAGTCGGGCAGGTGGTGCAAATGGGCAAGAGGTTTAGCTGCTAACAGAAAGGTTCGACGTTCGAATCCATCCAGAGGCAAGCCGGAAGAAAGGCCTGTTTATCTGCCGGCTCCACTCTGGGACCTCAGGGGGTGCCGTGAGTCATCCTAAAACAGACTGCACCTGGATACGTGTTGGGGGATGTCTCAGAGCGCTGGAAGCCAGTGGAGAGCGCAGTAGTCTTTCTCTCGACAGGAACTCTGTACCGAGGACGAGGACGAGGCCCCTTGCCCCAGAAGCTCCATGGTCCCCATGGGGTTTAAACGCCGACTTAATTGATTTTTCATCTCCCGACAGACGGCGTTGATCAATGCTTCTACGTATTTTCACAACTGAACGAGGAGAAGCTGCCTGCTGAGCGTTTAAGAGTCATTTCCCAGAGGCTCGGGGCTTCCATAAAGTCTGGCGTAGCCATGATGCAAGGCTGCGGTGGGGGCGAGAGGCGTTTTAGAAGGAAAGCCAGCAGACTTTCATGGTAACTGGAGAAGTCAAAGGGGAAGGGGAGGAGGCTTGAGGTGGGGGGAGCTGCAAGCAGGGCAGAAGGCCTGTTCCACTTGGAAGCAAGCAAAAGGCCTGGCTGTGTGACCTGGGGCAAGTCGCTGGCCTCTCAGGGCCCCTGCATCCGGTCATGAGGCTGCTTCTCACACTCACCCCCCAGGGGAGGAGCGAGGCTGAAAACAAGCCTCACATCTGGGCCAGTGTTCCCCGCCAACGCCCCTCCCTGGGCTGCTCGGGGGAGCCTCTCTTGACTCAGACCCGGTTCCCTGAGTGGGACTGGTCGGGATGGTCTCTGCCTAGGGACAGTCCGTGAAGGAGACAAACAACCGTGACTCAGCCATGCAGCCTCGAGGGGCGACACATGGGCCCCCGCCCACGCTCCCTGGCCTTGATCAGCATCCTGCTGCCCTGTGGCCGCGAGGGCTGGTCGTCCTCCAGCTGGCCACAGCAGCCAGACATGCCACAGAATGGACAGCTCCCCGTCCTGAGCCGTCCTCACCATCTGGGCCCATTGTTGCAAGCACGGTGCTATGTCCTGTCCGCGTAGAGGGGGGTTTCCCTGACCCTCCACTTGGCCCTGAGCATCACGTCCATGGCTAGCGGCTGGTCTCTGCCCAGTGGGCAAGGTAAACCAGCCAACCACTCGCCACCCTCGCTTCCAGGGGCTGCCTGGCTCTGTGAGGAATCCCTGCGAGAAATGGGGGTGGCAGGCTGAGACAATGGACAGGAAGACCCCAAACCCCCACAGCTGCATCACATCCTGTTTTCTGCCCGGGGGAGCCTCGGGGCTCTGTCGAGGCAGGGCTGGTCATTTCCATGGACAGGTCAGGTCTGCACTGTCCGGGGCATCTCACCCCTCCTGCTGAGCATTCAATGTCGCCCTTCCCACCACGGTGACACTGGCAAAGCCCCGCGGGGACCCGGCAGCGTTGGGACACAGCACACAAGAGCGCTGGGGGTGGGGTGGGGGTAGATTATTTCAGATGCACTCTGTGTGTGTGCTTCCATCACAGGTGGAATGCGCCATGGCACTTCAACGTTCTCAGTGGGGAGTCTGTTTCCGTCAATGAAGGGACCCCCTCTTCTGCCTACGGATGTCCCCGCCCCACCCCAAAATCCCTTAATGCCCTCTCTCCCCAGGAAGCCTCATAGACTCGCTGCACTTGCACGGCTGGAGTCTCTAAAGGGTTAACCCTTCCACTTTTTAAGTCTGTGCTACGAAAACGGGGCCCAAGCCCCCCTCTGTCCAAACAGGGCCAGGAAAGGCAAACAGGCTACACACAAGAGCAGCCCACAGAGCTGGACACAGAGCCTGTGTGCAGGCGGCTGCAGCTGGGCCTCTGCACGGCCCGTGAGATCGGCCGCGCCCCTCACATGGGGACCGGCCAGGGCAAACACCCCCAGTCTCAACAAAGCCGCGTGTGATGGCTTGGAGCTCTGAAAGGGTGCATTCACAAACTCTCCTAGGAGATTTGGGGACAGGCGGAAAGTCAACAGGAAGCACACGTTTTCTCTGTGCAGGCAGCGCGTACCAGGAGGAACTCAGATGGACAGAGTAAAACTCCCTGGGCAAAGGCAGGGCTGCAGCCCAGACACATCCCAAACTGGTCTGGCCAAACACCAACCCGCTGCTCTCCGCTGATCCCGACTCACAGGGAGCCTGCAGCCGGGAGAACCGCCCACAGTAGCCCCAAGGCTGTCCGACTCCGCACAAGCAGACTGCCACCTCTTCTCCTGTGCAGCAGCTGGGGGGTTCGAACTGCCCACCTGTAGGTTAGCAACCAAGTGTTTCCCCACTGCACTGCCAGGGCTGAGCCTGAACTGCTATCCATAAGTGCGTATGTGTGTGCGTGTCTGTCTGTGTGTGTAAACCTTCACATTTAAAATAACCACGGAAAAGTGTCTACACCAGTGGATCCCAACCTTCCTCATGCCACGACCCTTTCATACAGTTCCTCATGTCACGGTGACCCCCCACTCCAACCATAACGTTATTTGTGCTGCTACTTCACCCCTAATTTTGCGACTGCTATGAATCGGGTGACCCCTGTGAACGGGTCCTTCACCCCCCCTACAGGTGAGAACCGCTGATCTCCCTAAAGGAATGGAGAGGCTCCAAAAACTCTCAGGAAAACACCATCATCTTTTCAACCCATTTCCCACAGTTCTTGAAGCCCCTCTAGTACTCCTAAGTTAGGTGCAAACGCTGAACCTCAAAATGCTCCCGTTGGACTGCTGAGTGTCTCATCCTAAGATTACACCTCTTTTGAAAACCCTTTCTTACTGAAAACGCTTTCCAGAGCCCCCACACCCAGCTTTGTGGGACCACGAGACCATCGGAAAAGACTGGCCCTCAGCCAGGCCAGGAAGCTCATCAAACCTCCTCCAGTAGGGCCTTTGTGTTGGGAACTGTTCTCCCTGCTTTCAGCCACCAACTCCCCAGCCTGGAATTTCTCTTCCTTCCCCACCCCACCCGCACCCCCACTCCCAGCAACCACCAAGGTCGGGTTTCTCTCAGGTGTGAAAACCTTTCCTTGGATTGGAATTCTTTTTTTAAAAACTGTAGCAGGGTAGCATACAATAACTGTCCCGTTGTGATTGATAATGTCCTCCAGGTCACGAGGTGTTTCAGATTCACTGTTCTTGAAAGGTGCGTAGTGTCCCGCTGTGTGTGTGTGTGTGTGTGTGTGTGTGTGTGTGTGAGAGAGAGAGAGAGAAAGGTGCATCGTGTCCCGCTGGGGGGGTGGGTGTGGGTGAGGTGTGTGTGTGTGTGTGTGTGTGTGTGTGTGAGTGAAAAGCCACCTGATTTCCAGGGGGGCTTTGTCCACTGTAGTGTGCAGGGGGTGGGGTGGGGGGGTCTCCTCTCCAGCATGTTTTCTGGGTTTGTTTTGTTTTTTTGGTTGTTTCTGTGTTTAACTTTTCTATCGATGCAGGAGTGAGATGGTATCTCATCATTGTTTGGATTCAACCTCTTAACTCTAAAAGGCGAAGCTTATGAAAAGGAGCCCTGGTGGCCCTGTGGGCCAGGCATTGGGCTACTAACCAAAAGGTCAGTGGTTCAAACCCACCTATTGCTCCGAGAGGGAGAGAGGAGGCTGCCTGCCCTGGTACAGACTTAAAGTCTCGGAAACCACGCAAGGCAGAACCGACTGGATGGCAGTGGGTTTAGTTTTCGGGTTTTTACGGTGCTAAAAGGGGATGCTTTCGCACCCCAGCCCCACCCTGGTTTGAACGATGTCTGCCTCCAGGAGCCCATCTGGAAGGGGCAAGAAGAGAAAACAGCACGAACAAAGAAGCGCCCCAACTGTGCTCAACCATACAGCAGACAACGGCCGCGTGTCGGCAGGGTACATGTCTGCAGCCATGTGTGTTAAGGGGATGTTCTGCGGGGCTCCGCAGGGGGCGGGGATGAGCAGCTAGGGTTCTACTCTGACGTCCCACGAGGAAAATCCACCCACTCGTCGGTGGGGGACATGCTGCTGGTTTGGAAAACAGGCCCCGCTTAATGCGATTAGGCAGGCTCTGCGTTTAACAGCCTCCAAGGAATGAAGAACGAGGGTGGCTGACAACAGACAGCACGGTCTGCCCAGAAGACAGCCTATAGTCCCCCCTGTGATAAAAAAAAGCAGTCTCCTCCCGGCAGGAGCCCGCCCCTCGGCGGGCAGAAGTAGGCTGGCCGGACGCTGTGTCCTTGGACACTTGTGGCATCCACTGTCAGAAAGCCCCTCTCTGAGCCCCTCCTCCACGCTGAGGGCAGACAAGGACCTGCAGCAAAGGGGGGTTTCCCTACCTGTGGACTGCTGTCCGTGCAGGTGGAAGTGTAGGGAAGCCAGCTTCAGTGGGGAATGCTGAGTGCACCCCGGGCCCCACACCCGGGAAATTTCCCCTCTCCAAAGCAGGGCAAGCCCTAACTCAGGCGCAATGGCAGCCTGGTCCACAAACCAGAAGCCCCTCCCTGAACCACTGCAAGTACCTTCTGATCCTGAGAATGTCATCGGTGATGCTTCCTCCTCTCAGGGCTTGAAGCAGCAGACCACCAAACACTGAACTAGCTCTCTGCCACTGAGTGAATGCAGACGAACCGCCCTGTGGACTTCCGAGACTGTATTCTTTAAGGGAGTAAAAAGTCCCCTTGGAGTGGCTGGTGGTTTCAAACGGCTGACCTAGCAGTGAGCAGGCCAACGCATAACCACTGCGCCACCAGGGCTCCAGAAACAGCAGACAGCTAAGTTAATAAATGGCCTTGGTCCCACCCTCCAGCCCCCACTAGATCACTGCTGCTGCGGTGGAGACCCAGCGAGTTGATGCCCAGTCCTCAGGCCTGAAGGGAAGCAGACGGCCACGGGGTGGGTTCGACCCACCACCTCCCAGTTAGGTTAATGCTTACTCCACAAGGGCTCCCTCCCAGCAAGCTGCTGTCTGATAAACCCATCTACTTTTCTGGAGGGACCAGACAAGCTCTGGAGGTTTTCTCTCCCGACCCTCGAGTAGGAAGAAGTCTAGGGTGTCCCCCACCCCCGCAGCCACACCTGGTGCTGCCCACCTAAGAGGGGCCTGGGCAGTCTGTGACTGGGCCATGCCCTGGTGAGGAGGTTCTGGCTGCTGTAAGCAAGTTCCCGGGTCAGTCAGCCACGAGGCAGAGGGTCCAGGATGAGGCTGCCCTGAGGATGGGGAAGTCAGAGATGGCCCCTGATGGCCTGGCTGCTGCCAGCGATGTCGAAAATGTATGCCTGGGGGAGATCCTCAGGCCTCAGACAACCCCGCAGCCTCTGCCGACCCCTCACAGCCTGGTGAGAGCAAGCAAAGGGCCCGCTTGGCCATGACCAGGGAGACCGGGAGAGGACAGACGTGCGCTGTGGATGTTACATCTGTGGTCCTCCAGTAGGTACGAGGTCAGAGAAAAACAATTTGGCCCCGAGAAGGCATGCATGCCTCAGCCAGCACCTGCACCCACTCCCTTTCATTGCCCCCTCTGACTGGGCTTTCCAGTCACCCCCAGATTGGCAATCCGGCCCTCTCTCCCTCTAGTTTCTAGAACCTGCCTTTGTGCCTCCCCCCCCACCCCTCCCTCGGCTTGCTCCTTCTGGGAAGTCAGGGAGGGGCAGTCTCGGGGACTTCACACCTGGCCCCGCAGACCACAGGCTCTCTGTTCTGCTTGGCCCGAATCTGCGTCAGCTGCTTTTTCCAGAGAGTTTGGCCAGGTCCAAGTGGTTTTTTGTTTTTTTTGAAAGCAGCATTTGTAGGACCATCTCAGGGAGGCAGGGTGGGGAGGGGCATCCTGCAATGGAAGAAGTAGGCACACAGGCCTGGGAGACATTTCTTGCTGCACCCAAAGCACAGACTCGTTGCAGCCTGACTCGGCTGGTGCTGCTCCTGGGATGTCCCTCCCCATGTCCGCTTCCACCCCCAGCCTGGTGTCTGCAGCAGGCTCTGCTGCAGCATCCCCAGCATCCCCAGGTCCGGCTGGCCCTGGAGCCTCACAGCCCTTCCATCTACAGCTGCCCACAGGTCCTCCTGCCCCAGTTCTGATTCATGGACAAGCAGGGCCTGCCTGGGCCTGGACACCCCGTCAGCCGGCCCTCCCACTATAGCACAAAACCAAGCCACGTTCACGGCCATCACAGCCATTCTGACTCTTAGTGACCCTGTAAGCCACGCGGGTTTCCAAGACTGCCACTCGTGACAGGAGTAGAAAGCTCTGTCTTTCTCCTGAGGAGCGGCTGGTGGTTTCGAACTGCTGACCTTGCACAGTTAGCAGCGCTGTAACACAGGGCCTCCTAACACAAGGGTGCACTGTCTCTGCTCACTGTCTCTGTGTCTCTGGGCCACGTGTCTCACCCTTGCCCTGACCTGCCTGCCCCCAGTTCGGCTAACGCATTTCAAGAATTCACCTTGTGTCAGCAACTGTGCTAAATTCTGGAAATGTATGCGCTGTGACGTCTTGGGCCAGTGCTCCAGCACGCCTCGCATGCAGCCACAAGGCACAGTTGAAACTGGCCTGTGGCTTTATCACCTCCTAGATGCACCCTGTGCAAAGCTGGGAGCGGGCATGTGGACTCCGATCCCAGGTCTGATGGGTCTCTCTCCGAGCTCTGAGCTGCTCACTGGATTGGGGGGTGGGGGGAAGGGAGCTGCTCATCTGCAAGGAAATGGGCTGCGGGCTTACTCTGGCCAAGACTACCAAACAGAGGGAAATCTCAGCATCTCACAAGGTCCTCTTAGCTCTTCAAACGTGTGCTGGGCAAATACAAAAAGCCTTTGTTTGGCTTTTTCGGCCAGATCCACCCCCCACCTACCGGTGTGGCTGGCCATGGTGGCTGGCTTGTGCTGCTGGCAGCTGGGTCTCCGGCATGCCAGCAAGCTCACCCACTGTGGGTGGGTTCCAGCAGCACTTCCAGGTGAAGGCAGACCAGGAAGAAGGGGCTGGTGCGGGACACCCCCAAACCTCACAGCCCACAAGGGAAAGGACACTGTCCCAGTGGACAGGTCCATCAGGAGGGCGGGATCGGGTGCTGGAGGGGCACATCGTGCTTGGTGATGATGGTGGGACGCCTGGGGGAGTTGGAGCCAAGCAGGCCAATGGTTGTGTGGGCGACACCAGGCCCACAAAGAGTAGGTCACCATGAGGCAGCGTCCACTCAGCAGCAGGAGGCAGCTGGCTGCCTCCTGAGTCCGCACATGGGAGCATAAGAAAGCACCACACCAAGCTAAACTCACCACCACCCAGTCGATGCCGACTCACAGTGACCCTACCGGACAGGGCAGAACTGCCCCTGTTGAGTGTCCAAGACGGTGACTCCTTACAGGAGTAGACAGCCTCCACTTTCTCCTGCACAGCAGCTGGTGGTTTTGAACTGCTGACCTTGTGGTTCGCAGCCCGATGTGTAACCCCCTGTGCCACCAGGGAAGAAAAAGCCTGTAAAGACAGCATGTCACTGTTGAGGATGGGGAGGACTGGCTGGAATGGCGGACAAGGAAACTTCGGAGGGTAGGAATGGTTGTTTCCCTCCTGGGGGTGGGGGTGGGGGTGGGGCCGGCACAGGAATGTGCTTTACTGTCCCTAAGCCCACCCAACACTGATTTTTAAAAAAAATTTTATTTTGCTGTCGCTGATGAGAATATGCACGCGCGCGCACACACACACACACACACCAGCTCCACGGTTTGCACAGGGACCATTCAGTCACAGGTTGCCCTGCTGGGTTGCACAATCTTTCCCACCCTCCTTGTCTGAGCTGAACTCACGGGCCTCCCTCGGGCGCCTCCTTCTCCTCTGAGTGGCTGCTGCAATGGGAGGAGTCCTGGTGGTGTGGTGGGTTGCAAGTCAGGCTGCTAAACTGCAAGGTCAGCAGTCCAAGACAAGCAGCCACCTCATGGGAGAAAGACAAAGCTTTCTACTCCTGTGAAGAGTTAAGAGTCTGGGATAGTTTATTGTGCCAGCCTGGCGGATAAACACAAGTGGGATTAATTGGAGGGCGGAGAGATAAATGGCTCGGTGACCCTCGCCTTTCTTGTCTCTTGCTCTTTGATCATTGAAGTGTGTGGCTGCCTTGCTTGTTCTGTGCCTCAATTTAGAGGCTACACTACCTGTGGGACGCCTAGTCTGTGGACTGTGTCCCTGTAAGTTGAGGTCCCTTTAAGACCACACGATTGAAATGTATATCTCTGGAGCTGGGTCTGACAGTTGGTGACTGGCTGACAGTTGGTGACCTGCCTTGCTATTTGCTGCTGTGCTTATACAGCCTAGCTCTCTCTACAGAAGGAGATCTGGCAGCCCTCAAGACTTGAAGGGCTACTAGTGTCTCACAACTTCTCACGGGAGTGAGTTGCACTGAGCCATTTGTACTGCTTTATAATTTAACTGTTCAGTTCTTGTATTATCTATCTATCTGTATATAATTTAACAGTTCATTTCTTGTGTCATATATCTATCTTTATAAATAAATATATCAAATTATCAGCAATCTGGTTTTATCTCTCTAGAGAACCCTGTCTAACACAGAGTCTCAGAAGCCCACGGGACCATTCTTCCCTACCTCTAAGGTTGCTAGAGTCAAACGGACTGGACGGCGGTGAGTTTGGCTTTGTTTGGCGGCACTGTTGGACTGTAGCTGGTAGGTAAGTCACTCAAACCCGCCAGCTGCTCTGCAAGAGAGAAGACTGTCTGCAAGGGTCAAGATGTGCTGAGCCTCGGAACCCTAGGCAGTCAGTCACTAGGAGTCAGAACCAACTCCAGGGTGGTGAGGGTGCTGACAGTTTGATCCCAGATAAGACAGCTCTTAAGTGACCGCAATGCTTAAAAGCCAGACGTTCTTCCCTAGTGAACCTAAACGATTAAAGACTTCAGGGGATTTCTCTCGTCTAAAGTCGGAAGATTCGCTCAAGACAGTAGTTTCAGGAGTTCGCCGAGTCCCCACGACTCCAGAATGTCTGGAGTCCATGAGGGTTTGACTCTGCTGCCCATGGCCCCTCTTGGTCCGCATTCTGTAACGGCAGCCGAGCACCATCTAGTCCTCTGGTCTCAGGGGAAGGAGGCTGGTCATGGGGGCAATTAGCCACACATTCCGTGTCCTCCTGCTGTTCCGGACTCCCCTCCGTGTGCTGGTGCTCCCGGTGAGCAGATGAGCTGCTGCACCTTGACCGGCTGCACACACGCTTTTAAGGCCTCAGGGACCAAGCACCAGGCAGGGGGTAGAGGACAGAAGCAATGAACACCCCACCCGGCCAGTTAACTGGGGAAGGGAGACCTCATGAAAAGGGGAGAGCATTTTCACTGCCTTCCTGGTGGCACAGCAGTTAAGCACTCAGCTCTTACCCAAAGGTCGGCAGCTCAAGCCCCCCAGCTGCTCTGTGGGAGAAAGATGTGGCTGCCTGCTTCCAGAAAGATGGACAGCCTCACAGATCCAGCGGGGCAGTGCTGCTCTGTCCTATGGGGTCACTGTGAGTCAGAATCAACTAAACAACAACAACAAAAGGAATTGACTAACCAGCAGGGGGTGGAGTGGGTTTAAACCAAAT